ATATATATGTATATATATATTTATACATATATATCTATCTATCTATCTACCTTCTCTGTTTCCCCCTTTAATTGGGGGGTAACCGACATCAAGAAAGGAAAACAAAATAGATGGATTACTTTGCTCTATTGGCAATGAATAGGGAGCTAGCGACCGTTCAGATGGCACTGCTGGAGTGCCACAGCCCATCCTCCCGGCGCTTCCACAACCTGTGTCACTTCACAACTGCCAACTCCTCCTACTGCCCCTACCACAGGGCTACCTTTGTAAGATGCAGCCCCGTGGTAACAGCAGATGCCCATCAGAGCTGCTTCACAATCGTCGCCACTCATTCCTATTCCTAGCACGTTCGCTTGCTTCTCTCACATCCATCCTCCTATCATTCAGGGCTCTCCTTACTCCATCCATCCATCCAAACCTATTCCTCCCTCTAGTATTTCTCCCATCAACTCTCGCATTCATCACCTTTTTCATCAGCCTTTCATCATCCATCCTTTCCACATGGCCAAACCATCTCAGAACATTCATATCTACTCTGGCTGCAATTTTTCTCCTCATACTCGTTCTTGCTCTCACCACTTCATTCCTAACCCTATCCAATCGAGATACACCAATCATACTCCTCAAGCATTGCATCTCAAACACATTTAGTTTCCGTCTCTCACTTACTTCATACCCCATAACTCTGATCCATACATCACAGTTGGCACAACCACTTTCTCATACAAAACTTTCTTAACATTAATTTTCAACCCTTTATTCTTCATCACTCCTTTCAATGCATCCAACACTTTACATCCTTCATTCACTCTGTGACACATATCTTCTTCCACTCCACCATTTGCAGCTATAACCGAGCCTAAATACTTAAACTGATTAACCTCCTCACGTGTCTCTCCATTCAACATAAAATTCAATCCAGCGCTATCCTCATTTCTTGTACACCTCATAATCTTACTCTTTCCCACATTCACTTGCATCTTCCTTCTCTCACACACCATTCCAAATTATGACACTAACTGACACAGCTTTTCCTCTGAATCTGCCACCACCACAGTATCATCCGCAAACAGCAACTGATTCAGCTCCCACTCGTTATCATCCCCATCTACCATTCTCAAACCTCGACCACGCACTCGCTCATTCACCTCTCTTACAACTCCATCAGTATACAAATTGAACATCCATGGTGACATCACACATTCCTGTCTTAGTCCCACACTCACTGGAAACCACTCACTCACTTCATTCCCTACCCAAACACAAGCTCTACTGCCCTCATACAATCTCTTCACTGCATGCAACAATTTACCAATAATTCCATATAATCTCAAAACATTCCACATAGCCTCTCTATCAACTCTATCATATGCTTTCTCCAGATTAAAAAATGCAAAATACACATCCTTACCCTTTGCTAAATATTTCTCACATAACTGCCTAACTATAAAAATCTGATCTATACAACCTCTACCTCTCCTAAAACCACTCTGCTCTTCCGCGATCACATATTCTGTCTTATCTCTAATCCTATTAACCAGTATCCTACAAATACACTTTTCCTACCACACTCAACAAACTTATGCCCCTAAAATTACTGCATTCATACATATCTCCCTTACCTTTGTATAGTGGCACTATACAGACAATCACCCATTCCACTGGCACCAATGACAACATAAAGCATATATTAAACACTCTCACTAACCATTCCAATGCAGTCACACCCCATTCTTTCAATATCTCTGCTCTCACACCATCCATTCCAGGTGCTTTACCTGCTTTCGCTTCATACAGTGCCCTTTTCACCTGCTCTCTTGTAATCTCTCTCTCATTTTCATCTCCCATTACCGGCCCTTGAACCCCTCCCACTGACACTATAGCTGCCTCTCTATCTTCCTCAACGTTCAGCAAGCACTCAAAATATTCTGCCCTTCTTTTCCTTGCATCGTTCCCTCTTAACATATGTCCATTCACATCTTTCACTGTCTCTTCCAACCTCGATCCACCCTTCCTTACTCTCTTCACTTCTTTCCAAAACTTCTTTTTATTCTCCTCATATGACCTACTAAAATTCTGTCCCCACCTAACATTTGCCAACCTCATCTCTTCCTCTACCTCCCGCTTGGTTTCCACATTTTTCTCCCTATATCTTTCATACTTCTCCCTACTTTTACACTGCAGCCATTCCTCAAAAGCCCTCTTTTTCTCTTCCACCTTCATTTTCAGCCCTTCATTCCACCACTTGCTGCCCCTCCTCATGCCACCTCCAACAAATCTCTTTCCACACACATCACTTGCATGTCGCACAACACATTCTTTCATCAACCCCCATTCCTCCCCTAACTCCCCAACTTCTCTTTCTTTCACCCTGTCATATGCCACTCTCAACCTGTCCTGATATTCCTGTCTCTTCTCTGGCTTTTTCAACTCTTCCACCTTCATTATTGCCCTTCTACATCCCCCAACACTATTTTCCTACTCTTTTGCTACTACCACTTTTGCTTCAACCAAAAAATGATCAGACATCCTAGCAACCACACCCCTGAATGCATGTACATCTTTCACTCTACCAACACATAATCCATCAATGCTCTTTCTTTCACTCTTCCATTTGCCACTCTCATCCATGTATACTTATTTATTAACTTCTTCTTAAATAAACTATTACCTATCACCAACTCTTGCTCCACACACATATCTAACAGTCTCTCGACACTCATTACCACCTGGTACCCCATACTTTCCTACAACACCTTCTATCTCTCCATCACCCACTCTGGCATTCAAGTCAACCAACACAACTACATAGTTCCTTCTACTCAGACCATCCACGCATCTAGTTAACTCATTCCAGAATTCATCCCGCTCTTCCTCACTTCTCTCACATCCTGACCCATACGCACTAACAAAAGCCCTACATTCCCTTCCTATCCTAGCCCTCACCCACATCAGCCTAGATGACACTTCTTTCCATTCCACTACCTGATTTACCATCCATTCACTCAGCAAAAATGCCACACCTTCTCTCGCTCTCCCCCTTTCAAACCCCAGACACCCTACCCGTCACATCACCAAATGCCACTTCTCCTTTTCCTTTCATCTGCGTCTCACACAATGCCAATACATCCATCCTCCTCCTACCAAACATATATCCAATCTCACATCTTTTGCTCTCTATCGTAATACAACCACGCACATTTAGACACCCCAAAACTAGAGTTTGGGGAGAAGTTATTCTCCCCTCTACTCCCCTTCTTCTTTGACGTCTCGCAGGAGGTTGATACAAGGGGGGATTCCTAGTCCCCCCGCCCCATCCACTTTCAGTCGCCTTTTACGACACGCAGGGAATACGGTGAGGCTATTCTTTGATGTTGTGCCCGCCCCACAGGGCATTTCTAAAGCAAATAATATGAAAAGGGATTTTAAAAAACACGACTTTGTTGTATCCATAATGAGAAACTACTTAGAGAAAATACACACAAAGAGATACCCTGTATTATTGAAGGCAGATTTAGTTGTAAATATACAGACAAAATTACATGAAAGCACATGAAAATATTAACCCGTACATTAACAAAGGATATCGTTTTAACCAAAATGTGGGTCCTCTTACAGGAAAGACCCAATGAAGTTATACAGTCAGACGGTTTAAAAATGTCATACTTCCTGGCCATTAGAAATAATGCCTAGAAAACACGCATGAGAGAGAGATCATGCAATAGGACTAGTTAAACTCGATGAAGTTAAAGCATTAATCAACTTTTTTATCTCTAAAAGTTAATGGCACATATTCATCACTATTAAATATTCATCATTACACTCTTTATTTAGGAAACAAAAATTCTAAGTCTATAACAAATATATTTACAAACGCAATATTCTTTTGTCAGAGGGAATGATGAGCATGATGCATGTATGAGGAATTTATCAATTTCAATGAGTTTCTTATTATGTGGCAATATATGTAATGAGATACTGGAATGCTTAAAGGCACGGAGGGAAATATAGAATAGCGAGACCAACAACTCTATCAATAAACTAAGGTGTACAAACATGATATAACTGTAGTTACCTTATAATTTTATCAAGGAGACTGTTGAAAACATGAAGTTTCTCTTATGGGGATTTTATTCAACAACAAACACTTTTATGTGAAATTGATATGAAATTGATATGAAATTGATAGTGTAGCGTAAATAGACACACTAAGAAAGTCTAACAGCAATTTTAGAACAGGGTCTTCTTAAATTCAATATGCAATGCATATTAATAATGACAAATAAAAGGGAGATACAATAAGAATATACTGTTCAAGTTAAAAATGCTTACCCAGATCTGCATAAAATTTCACCTACTACTATAATGAGTGAAATATCTTTACATAGAAACAGTATGATCACTAATATATGAAGGTGCTATGAACAATAATGACAAGTGTCTTATTTTATCATCTTTATTTGTTACGATGAAGACTGATGTATGTGAAAGCAGTAACAGTATTTCATAGAATGAATACTACTGCATACCACCTTCTTTAGGAATATTACTGTACTATAATAAACTGATATACATATATATATATATATATATATATATATATATATATATATATATATATATATATATATATATATATATATATATATATATATATATATATATATGTAGATATATATATATATATATATATATATATATATATATATATATATATATATATATATATATATATATATATATATATATATATATATATATATATATATATATATATATATATATATATATATATATATATATATATGTATATATATATATATATATATATATATATATATATATATATATATATATATATATACATATATATATATATATATATATATATATATATATATATATATATATATGTATATATATATATATATATATATATATATATATATATATATATATATATATATATATATATATATATATATATATGAATCAGTTTTTACCCTGACTAGGACTTGAACCTAGGACTTATGATTTCAAAGTCAAGGCGCTACCAACTACACCACAGAGGTTTAAAAGGACTCTAACCTTATAGTTTATATCTGCTATACTTAGGAATGAACGCATTCTAGCTGAATGTCACTATGTTCATATTACAGATTCCCCAACCTCACTCGTGGCTTCATTTTCGCATTTAATTCAATTCCCAATCTCATTCGGTTCATACAATAACCATATAAGCACATTACATATGTGAAAACATGAATAACTTTTTACCCCGACCGGGATTTGAACCTAGAACTTATGATTACTAATTAAAGGCGCTACCAACTACACCACAGAAGGTTAAAAGGAATCCAACCTTGTAGCTTATATCTGCTATACTTAGGAATGAACTCATTCTAGCTGAATGCCACTCTGTTTATATTACAGATTCCCCAATCTCTCTCGTGGCTTCATTTTCGCATTTAATTCTATTCCCAATCTCATTCGGGCCATACAATAACCAAATAAGCACATTACATATGTGAAAACATGAATCATTTTTTAACCCGACCGGGACTTGAACCTAGGACTTATGATTACTAAATCAAGGCGCTCCCAGCTACACCACAGATGGTTAAAAGGAATCCAACCTTATAGCTTATATCTGCTATACTTAGGAATGGAGGCATTCTAGCTGAATGCCAGTATGTTCATATTACAGACTCCACAGCCTCACTCATGGCTTCATTTTCGCATTTAATTCAATTCCCAATCTCATTCGGGCTATACAATAACCAAATAAGCACATTACATATGCGAAAACATGAATAAGTTTTACCCTGACCGGGAATTGAAGCTAGGACTTATGATTACTTAGTCAAGGCGCTCCCAACTACACCACAGAAGGTTTAAAGGAATCCAGCCTTATAGCTTATAGCTTATAAGCTATAAGCTTGTCTTGGAAAATCGTTGCTTTCAGTGCTTGTGTCACTTACCTATCTTGCAAGAAGAATTTCTTGTGAGAAAACATATGTAATTGCAATTGATTAAAAAAGAAGTAACCACGTTATTATTTTATAAGTACACGAGAGAGAGAGAGAGAGAGAGAGAGAGAGAGAGAGAGGAGAGAGAGAGAGAGAGAGAGAGAGAGAGAGAGTCTTCAACCGTGATTTATTTTTTGAAACGATGGGTGCGAGTGGCAAAGAAGGAGAAATGAGGATGAAAGAGAAATGAGAGAGAGAGAGAGAGAGAGAGAGAGAGAGAGAGAGAGAGAGAGAGAGAGAGAGAGAGAGAGAGAGAGAGAGAGAGAGAGAGAGAGAGAGAGAGAGAGAGAGAGAGAGAGAGAGTCTACCAAACTTCAACCACAATTATTTTTTGATAGGTGATAGTTGGAGAGAGAGAGAGAAATGAGGAAGAAAGAGAAATGGGAAAGAGAGAGAGAGAGAGAGAGAGAGAGAGAGAGAGAGAGAGAGAGAGAGAGAGAGAGAGAGAGAGAGAGAGAGAGAGAGAGAGAGAGAAATAAAATCTACCAATCTTCAACCATAATTATTTTTTTGAAACTATAGGTGAGAGTGGGAGAGAGGGAGAAATGAGGGAGAAAGAGAAATGAGAAAGAGAGAGAGAGAGAGAGAGAGAGAGAGAGAGAGAGAGAGAGAGAGAGAGAGAGAGAGAGAGAGAGAGAGAGAGAGAGAGAGAGAGAGAGAGAGAGAGAGAGAGAGATTTTAAATCAGTCTTTCCGCAACCATATTATATATCTAGAAAATGTAGGTGAATGAGGGAGAGAGTACTTATCTAATTGTACTTACCTAATTGTGTTTTCAGGAAAGAGCCCAAAGCTCGTATCTTCCCGTCTCCTGATCGGTTCCATTTTAGACTTAGTGATACTTATCATACCTGTCCTTAAAACTAGGGATTGAGATAGCATTAACTACCCCCTCACTTAGCCAATTCCAATTATCAATTACTCTTACACTGAAAAAGTATTTCCTTACAACCTGCAAAGAAGTTTTCTTACCAAGCTTCAAACTATGACCTCTAGTTCTAGAGCCTCCCATATCAAAATATCGATCCCTATCCACTCTATCATAACCATGAAGGAATTTAAAGACTATCACCATATCCCCCCCTCAATCTTCTAGCTTCGAGTGATGGTAAGTCTAATTCCCTCAGCCTCTCATCATAACTGAGATTGCGTATTTCTGGCACCAGTTTCGTGGCATGTCTTTGAACTTTTTCAAGTTTAGCTATGTGCTTTTTTAAGTGTGGATTCCAAAAGGGGGCTGCATATTCGAGTTTTGGCCTCACATAGGTTACATAAATATTTCTGAACATTTCCTTGTCCATGTGCCGGAGGGCTACCCTTACATTTGATAAGAATGCATTTGCTGGCCTTACTATGCCATTTATATGTATTTCTGGAAACAAATCTACCAGTATGTTTACTCCTAGATCTCTCTCATTTTCTGTCTCTTGAAGTTGTACTCCAGCCACTGAGTAGTCAAGCTTGGGCCTTCTTGCACTTGTACCCATTCTCATTACCTTACATTTTGAAGTATTGAATTTCATTAGCCACTTTTCTGACCACTCATGCAGATTATTTAGATCCTCCTGAAGTTCTCTACCATTGTCCTCGATTTTTACTTTCTTCACAATCTTTGCATCATTTGCAAAAATATTCATGAATGAATTTAAAGACTCTGGTAGATCATTTACATATACAAGGAACAAAAGTGGCCCTAAAACTGAACCCTTTGGAACTCCACTACTAACTCTTCTCCATTCAGACACTGAGTGTCTTACTCTAACCCTCTGTTCCCTTCCTTCTAAGTAAGTTTTTATCCATTCCAAAACATTTCCACCTATTCTAGCCATTGAGTGCAGCTTCCTAATAAGTCTCCCATGTGGAACAGTGTCAAACGCTTTCTGGAAGTCTAGGAATATGCAATCTGCCCAGCCCTCTCTTTCCTGTAAGATTTGGCTTACATCATTATAAAATTCTAATAAGTTTGTGACTGTTAATCTACCTTCTCTGAAGCCATGTTGCCTCACTGACAAAAAGTTGAAGGTTTCCAAGTGAAGAGAGATATGTTTCCTTAGTTGTTTCTCCAAAACTTTGCAAATTATGCTGGTCAAGGAAACTGGTCTATAGTTCAGAGCCGTATCCCTCCTTCCCTTTTTGAAGATAGGTATCACATTTGCTTGTTTCCAGCATCTTGGAATCTCCCCTGACTCCAGTGACTTTTTAAATATGATACTTAGTGCCACTGATATTGAGTTTGTACATTTATTAAGCACATGAGGGGATATGTCATCAGGAGCTGTAACTTTATGAACATCTAAATCCATCAACGATTTGCATACCTCTGTGGCTGTAAGGTTGATGTTCTCTAATACCGGCCCTTGATCTTCTATCTCTGCAATCTGAGGGGGTGGGGTATTTTCTACTATAAATACTGACTGACACTCCTTGTTCAATTCTTTGCAGATCTCTTCATCCATCTCAGTGTTGCTTCCATCCGCTCTCTTTAGCCTTAAAACTTGTTTTTTTGCCTTCAGTTTTCCTCTGATAAAGCTGTGGAAAAGCTTGGGAATTTCTTTAGCCTTCCTGGTGATGTACCTCTCATAGTCTCTCTCTGACTCTCTCCTTTTACTTAGGTAGTCATTTCTTGCTCTTTTGTAGGTTTGCCAGGCATTTATGTATTTTCTCCTCCTATACCTTTTCCACAATTTGTCTCTCCACTCCTTAGCTCTTTTACACTCATTTTCGAACCATTTTTTCTCTGGCATGAATTACACCTACTTTGGTGACAGGTCAGCAACAATCCACTATCTTCCCATATTTCTCACAAAAGATGTCATATATTTCTTGTACAGATTTGTTGTAAAATAAGGTTCTCCAGTCAATAACTGCAAAAAGCTCATTCATATTGATGTAATCTCCTTTCGGATAGTTCCTCCTCATGTCCTCAGTGCCTCTACTCTCAGGCAGAATATCTTCAATGATATATTCCATCAACAATACACTGTGGTCACTCTTTCCAATTGGTGGTTCATACTCAATTTCTTCAATTTCAAACACATTATCTGTGAATACTAGATCAAGTAGTGATGGCTCATCCCCACCCCTGGCCCTCGTTGGTTCCATTACATGTTGGTGTAGGAAATTCCCTTGTACGCAATCTAGGAATCTTGCTCCGAATGAGTCCTCACCACTGTGTGTGTCAAAATTTATCCAATCTATCTCTTTATGATTAAAATCTCCCAAAATCAAAATCCTACATTTTTTCTTCCGTGCCATGTTTACAATTGAGTTTATGACTTCAATAGTACCTATATGACTTTCCTCATAAACTTCAAGTGTGTGTGTGAGATTACCTAATTGATTACCTAATTGTGTTTACGGGAAAAAGCCCAAAGCTCGTATCTTCCCGTCTCCTGAGCGGTTCCATTTTAGACTTAGTGATACTTATCATACCTGTCCTTAAAACTATGGATTGAGATAGCATTAACTACCTCCTCGCTTAGCCAATTCCAATTATCAACTACTCTTACACTGAAAAAGTATTTCCTTACATCCTGCAAAGAAGTTTTCTTACCAAGCTTCAAACTATGACCTCTAGTTCTAGAGCCAGCCATATCAAAATATCGATCCCTATCCACTCTATCATAACCATGAAGAAATTTAAAGACTGTCACCATATCCCCTAACACTCTTCTAGCTTCGAGTGATGGTAAGTCTAATTCCCTCAGCCTCTCATCATAACTGAGATTGCGTATTTCTGGCACCAGTTTCGTGGCATGTCTTTGAACTTTTTCAAGCTTAGCTATGTGCTTTTTTAAGTGTGGATTCCAAAAGGGGGCTGCATATTCGAGTTTTGGCCTCACATAGGTTACATAAATATTTCTGAACATTTCCTTGTCCATGTGCCTGAAGGCTACCCTTACATTTGATAAGAATGCATATGCTGCCCTTACTATGCCATTTATATGTATTTCTGGAGACAAATCTGCCAGTATGTTTACTCCTAGATCTCTCTCATTTTCTGTCTCTTGAAGTTGTACTCCAGCCACTGAGTAGTCAAGCTTG